CGAGAAAGCTGTATAATCTTTATAGCCCAATTGTTTAAAATGTGTTGTCACGATTAAAATAACCACTATTATAATTACAGTTTAAGGTGGTATTTGGCACTTTCCATACAAGTTATGCCGTCCAGGTTACCACGCTCCTCATCAGTATTGCTCCGAGTTGCCGATTTACGAAAATAGCATCTTTCTCCTCCGCGAAGACTGGCCAAAGTCGTCACAGTCTCGCTCCGCTTCGGAGCTGAGCCTCCGCTTCCGTGACCGCCCCCGAGGCTCCTCCTCTTGCCGCTCAGCTGTGCCGAGCTCGTCATCATAGTAGTAGACGTCGTCCTCAGAGGCATCTGTCCTAGAGTAGCCGCTGTCATACAGACCCAGGCTCTCTCCTACCAACAGTTCCTCGGCGGCACCGGTAGACCTCGGTGCGCTTCTTTTCCTAGGGGAGCGCGACCTGGAATTCATCCACAACTGCCTGCACATCTCGGGACTGGCCTCTTCGGTTTCCCACTCGCCCTTGTCACGGCTCCAAAGGAGCAGGCGCCTCGGCACGAGCGCCGAGGGGAGGAACATGTCGAAGACGCTAGGGCTCAGGACGGTCCAGGCAAACCGGGCGAAGAGACACTCTACCGCCACCGTCGCGGGGATTGGGTGGGCGGCGCGGTTGTGCCAGAGTCCCGGGAGCTGCCCGCTGGGCGTCGAGTTGAAGACGTGCAGGACGAGCTGCGGCGACTCCAGCGGGTCTGCGTCTCCCCCACTATTATCCCCAACCTTGGGGACCAAACAAAAATGCCTCTCGTCAAAGACGCGATGGAGATCGGCCCGCAGCGTCAAAAGGTTCGCCGGCCCGTTAATCGGGCTACTTGAGAACAGCTGCATTGGCGAGTACCGTTGCATGCGATTCGAATACCACCAGTCGTCCTCGCTGGCCGGCAGCAGGTGCGCCATCTCGAGGCCGTCGCCGTAGTTGGAAAGCACGCAGCGCCGGGCCACCTCGCCCGTGCGCGTGGCCGCGGTCGCGTCTGCTGCCCATCTCTGCCACAGGGGCGGCAGATTGTCGTGCGGGAAGAGCCAGTGCGAGAAGCGCGGCACGATGGGATACGGGGGATCGAGCGGACCGGGAAGCTGAAAGAAGTACTCTGGCTCGCGTAGGACACCGTCACTCGGACGCTCCACGCTCACAGCGGCGCTGCGGTCCAGTGAGAAAGACCCGTCGCTCCACCGGTTGCCGGCAACAAGGCCACAGGCCGCCAGCGCCGTGTCGAAGTCGATCCCACCGTCATCGAGTGCGGGTAGCGAGAGAAGCACTGCTTTTCCGGGGTAGCCGGGGTGGAGGAAGTCAGCTTTGCGCAGTCGCTGCGCTTGAGATTCGGGCTCGTTTGCAGCGGGACGTAGTTGCATCTTGTTTTTGTCGTTGCCATGGGTTGAACGGAAATGTTGAGCATGGATTTGCTAATTGATCAAGCTGGGGCATAGGTTGGTTTGGTTGGTCTGTGCCCGCTCGGGTACCCACAGGTTACAAGGCTTATAATTGTTAGTACGGTGGTGGGTGGTGGGGGCAATTTGTTGTTATACCATGAGGATATCAACGGAGCGAGGGGGCAAACGAGGAAAAAACAAGGAAATTACTACATTAAAAGCTTCACTTTTTATTTAACATTTTTTTTATTTAACAATTTATTTCCGGGCGGACGCCCGAGAGGAGGGCGGCGGGGAGGTGGTGGCGTTGCCACGCTTGATGTCCTTGGCGATGAATGCGTCGAGAGCAAGCTGGTAGGATCTCTTGGCCTGAAAACAATCCCTGTACAGCTTCGGCGCTGTCCCCAAGTGCCAACAAGCGACGGTCAGATTCAGATGAGCAGAGATGACCATTCTTCTGAAGAATTTGTGATTTAATAGACCTGCTGGTAGCACATCGAGCTCGCTGTCGTTCGCATCGGGGAGCTCCGCCTGGACCAAAACCTGGACATCGTCGATCACAACACTTACGCCAGAGTCGGGACTGCAGTTTGCAGCTTCACTAACCTCCCCTCGCCGAGTCAAGAGGAATTCCGCGGCCTTCTTCTCTTTTTGATCGGACTTTTTCTTGCCCTTGCCCATGAGCGGAATGTCGAGTTTGAAGCCAGACAGGCCCTTCTTCGGCTTCTTGAGATCGTGCATATCTGACATGATGACCTAAAGGATGTGGCTATTTTAAATCTTGATGTCGTGGTGTGAGACAATCAGGATCAGATCAGGTATCGTTGAGATGGCTGCACCCGAAGATGCTCCTGAAGGGGGTGTTGGCTGCCGGTCAACATCACCAAAGAGATCAAGAACCCGGAGCCTGCCCTCATAAGCCGTATCAAATAAGACACGGGCGCCGCGGGGTTAACCCCCTGTCTCTTTCTCGACTGCCGCAGATATTCGGTAGCACTACCTATTCGCCAAGGCGTGAATAGTCACAGCAATCTTTTATCCCGGCCATTTACGATGCATCAACATGTGTAGTTTCGGTAGCCACAATGCAAATATGCAACGACACAAGGAGGCTGCAAGTCGTTACCCAATCGAACTTGCAGCTTGGGTAACCACAGGAGAGGTCATGCTGGTTGAGAGCGTCCCTCCTGCCCCCGCTCCTCCAATCCCCGCTCCTCCAATGTGCAAGTAGAAAAAGGCGACTTGCAAGGATTAGCATGGCGAGGGGAACTGAATGGCGAACTACATGGCAGCTGGAGATCACGGGGTAAGCTGAAAAAGTGCCTAGCATTTTTATTTCCTTCTGTTTCTCTAATTTGTTCTCTCTCCTGCTTTTTGCCATCCCCATCGGGTCTTGATCGTAAGGCACACTTCCACCATTTCCATTATACCATGTATCTTACCTTTCCAAGCGGCAAACATAGCCAAGATGGCGGCGACATCTCTAGCAAGAGAAAAGCGCCTGCTGGCGGCGATGTCAGTCGCAAGAGAAAAGCGCCTGCTGGCGGCGATGTCAATCGCAAGCCCAGAAAGCAATCGCCATCCGGCACCGATGACGACGCGCCCTCGCTCGAAAACCCTCCCAGTTTTGCCTGCCCGCTGTTTAGATACGACCCCGTCGTGCATCACGAATGCTTGATGTTTATGCTGCCGGCGCCGTGGGTCGTCCAGTGCCACTTGCAACGAAGACACAGTTCGGACCAGCGTTGTCCTACTTGCGGCAGCTACTTCACATCGCGTAGTAAGCTCAAGGCGCACCAGGAGCAGAAGCAGCCGTGCCGCGCGATGCCCCTCGAGCGCCATTACCACGATCTTGGACCCGAGCGATTGGCGCAGCTGTCCACGTTTGACGAAAAGACGCGGTTCATGGACAAACCCGCCCAGTGGAGCTGGATTTGGGGGGTGGTGTGTCCCAAGCCTGACCAACCGCCGCCACCGAACATGTATTTGGACGGAATGCTTGGCGAGATGCTCAGTGTGGGACTCGAGGCTCGCGATCGTGGTATCAGCTGGTTGCCACAGCTCCTCGAAGTGCATGGCGTTAGCATCAAGCACCGCGACACCCTGTGTGAGAAAATCCGGGATATATTCCTTGGAGCACGGCCGGAGCAGGACATCGGCAGTGTCGCGAACACCGTTGTCATACGTGCACGAAGCCAAATTCAACCGCTTCTTACAAAAGCAGGCATCAGCGACGTCGATGGCGCCTTGGCTGGCGAAATATTGGCCCTCTTTTTTGGCGATGGCGCGAAACGAGACCCTCTCGCAATCCCCAGCCTGACACACTTGCCGAGGCCAGCGGCGGCGAGGAAAATGAACTGGGCATGGATAGACAGTGACGACGACGACGACGACGACGGCGGCTCGGTCAACCCCATGCGTCGTCATCTTATGCCGATGCCATTTACAACAACAAAAACAGAAGGCGTCGAGTGGGACATGGCCGAATCGGCTGGCCCGCCTCAGCCGGGGCCAGTCATACAACCTAAAATGACCAAACGGCGTGCCTATATAGCCGAAATCTCTGCATCCATATTGGCTGCCCTCACTTCGCTGGAAATTGACGCGGACGACGAACGCGAAAAGGGCGATGATGACAAGGACAAGGGCAAATCCCCAATCAAGCCTTCTGTTCAGAACTTGCGCGAAGCTTTACGATCGCGGGACCGCCAAGAACTTCATGATTTGCTGAATGCATGCTTCGAGCACGTTGCTTCAGAGGAATATTCCTGGCTGGCAGAGCTCAGAAGCTTAGGGTACTCTTCCTCGGACATCGCCGACGAGTTGCTGGAACGAGAAGTCTGTGGACCCTGGATTTTCCAGCCAGTTGTGCTCCCTTTTGCGCGGCAACTTATGGATGGCCATCATCAGCCACGTTGTGTTCACAACTTCGACCAGGCTCAGTCTTCGACAAATCCTGATATTCAAGAGGGGACCGAGTCGATGTTTCCCGTAAAATACGTGCACGGAAATCATCCAACTCTCACTCCACAGCAAAGCATCGAATATCTGTGCGGTCTATGTGGGGTGCGGCCATCTGCAGATGGACGTTCAGAGACCGACCTGGGTTCGGTCACTTTTGAGGCAGGTCCCCAAGCCATTATCAAATTCAGTGATATGGCGTCCCACACAAGCGAGATATTGAAGAATCTTGCCAACGCGGCTGGGATGCTTCAGATGCTCGGCGGGTGCTGTGACTCCTTGACCTTTCTTTACTGGCGTTACGACGAAATCAGACTTCACCGTGTCCCCTTTTCAGTCATCGGTCGGCTACAACAGAGCTTGAGCAACCCAACCGACCTCTCCGTCTTCGACGCACTTTATGAGGCCATGCCGTTTTTTGACAACGGTGTGCTTCTGGTTCAAAAACTCGGTCACGCAAACGTCCGTTTGCTGGTTGACCTGGCTGCTCGATTTCTCAGCCTGTGTTTCCTCTCGTACGCCCAGGGGCACCGGGGACCGATAAGTCCGTTCTTTCTCGACACGCCGTTGGAAACCGTGCTGCTTACAAGCTCGACGACACCTGCACCTACCCTGTGCGGTTCTTTGGTGGAATCGACGTGCATTGGGGATATGGTCGGGGGCCCGTTGTTCGCATTCCACATGGAAACGGGGTGGAAGAAGTCGATCAACTGGTGGCTGAAATGCACTCCTGACAGCAAGCTGGATCTACTTGCGTGCGCGGAGGATGTACTGGATACATGGGGACCAGGGGAGGCCCTGATGTCGAAAGACAAGCCAGGCGAACTGCTCGCAATCTCTATCGGCGGCGGCACCATCGTCGCCATCGAGCCCACGCCCTCAGAAAACAGCGGTGAAACCCCGCCGCTCTTACACTGGAGTTCGGGATCGATCTTACCAAGCAGCCTGCCCAGGGGCTTCGGCTTCCGGGAAGTTATGAGAATAGGGGCAACTGTAATGGAGAATCTAGGCTGTGTGGGGCGTCCAAGCGAGCGCCTGCGCAGGTTCCCTTCGCTGCTCAGGGACCTGGGAGTACGTCCCGCGTCTTGGGAGCCGTCCGAGAGGCAACTCGGGCTCGGCTTTCACGCCCAAGCAGCTCAGTCCGGCTTTGCTATCGCACGGTTCAACCAAAACTGGATCAAAATGAAGGAGGTCACCAAGAAGGCCGCGCTGCTGGCTCGCCCGCGACTATACACCCCGGACCTAGACAGCCGCATTGGGGTCCAGATCAGCGTTTGCACCGGGATTGCACGGCGCGTGCGACTACGCGACCTGCTTGCCGACGTTCTCCCTGCTTATGTGGCCGGGCTTGTCACGAAACCACAAGAGTGGGATGTGCTGGACCGGACACACGACATAACAGCCTCTCTCCAAGGGGACAATGATCTTGGCTGCTGGCTGGCAAACCTCACCCATGGCCAGCAGAGGGCATTTGAGGACCTCGTCCGGGACGTTCTGAGCCTGCTCAGAGACACTGGCTTTAACCGAAGAGACCAGGAATTTACCGTCGCCTGCATCCAACCCCGTCTTCATCCTCAGTGCTTCAAAATCCCCTGCAAGGAGGAGAACGTGTGGACGCGTTTACTCGCAGACTCTGAGGACACGGCCACCTTCGCCTATGCTACGACAAGATGCTTGGAAACAGCAAAGGTGAAATGCAGCAACCCAGCGGCACCCTGGATCAACTCTACCAGCATGCTGTCGACGGTGGTCTCGTGCTGTGAGGGGCGCATCGCCACCACGCCACCAGCGCCGCCTTCCACTCCGCCGAAATCGCCCTTCTTGCCTCTGCAGTTGCCCCCAACGCCGCCTCCACTGCTCCCAACACTGTCCGCAGTGCTTCCAACCCTGCAGGCAACATCCTCAACTCTAGCGACATTGCCCCCAACGCCGAGTGCTGGCCCCAGTACCGCTGCCGGCTCCGGCTCATCTCCTGGGGAAGTTGCTGTTATTGCGGCTCCCGTGCCGGTTCACTGGACATTGAAGCACCGCGAGTCATACTACATTGGCCATCCCGATGCGCTTCTGCTCGTATCTGTCCACAAGCCCGAGGAGCAAAGGGAGCCGACTCTGCTAGTTTCCCCAAGCACGATCCCGGGGATGCGGTTGCGTAGACTCTTGAATGGGGGACCTGGGAAGAGGAAGCCTTTGCGTCTTAGAGAGATGGCGTTGTACGATGAGGTTTCTGTTGCTGAAAGCGTCGTGGTTCTCGTTGGCCGGCCGGAAGAAGGTGGGATATCTACCTAAGGTACCTGAGGATGATCTCAAGGCTTCCATGCTCCTTTCATTGTAAATTGATGGAAATTACCTGTGAGAGGCGGGGGTGTCTAGAAATCCTCGGACGGCTGTCGACTTTGCGAGGGTTCGCATTGGCTGGCGTAAAAAGGGTCCAGTTTGTGGTGGGAAGGCGTATGGTGCATTATTATGGCGTTTGTGTACATTAGAAAGAGAAAATGATTCTTTATCCCCGAGTCCCCGTCTCCTAACAAGAAAATGGAAGGGAAAAAAACCAACGGACTAGCCAAAGACACCGTAGCTCAGGCTTTTCTTCAGTGTCCTTAACCGTCTAGCAGGTGCGGCTAGAAGCATGAAATCCGTTCCAGGCCGGCGTACGCTCAGGGGCAGTCTCGACATCCGCTTCCTGGGCCGCTCCCCGGCCTGGCTGCCATTGCGGGCGCAACGTTGGCGCAACGCTGGCGACCAAAGCGCTTGCCGCCTACAAAAATTCCACTTCCAGGACTAGGTTTCATGATAGGTGTTGGCATGGCCGTCGCCAACCCGAAACTGCAACACCACGACAGATCTTCCCAAGTGCGTGCTACTCTAAGCGTAAGTGTAGTTTGGCCCCCGACAGCCGATGCCAGACACCACAGCAGCACGGCAGCACACGCACCAGCCGCGAAAATGGCCTCCCTTTGGGGATACGGTAGCCGACGAGACAGCTTTTTCTTCATCGACACATCCATCTTCCAGACTCGCCCCTTGTGCCCACGATTCAATCTTGCCATCAAAACGCCTACCAGGTAGCCCCAGCTTCCCATATAGCACGTCACGTAAAATCATGGTCGAGTCACCGAACAAGAAATGCCCTGACGGAGCGACATGTTGAACGCAGGGTCCTCCTGCCCCCTCGTCGGCTATATCACGTCTCGGATTCAGCCATCCAGCAGGAAGGGGGTAAAGCCATCTCCTGTCACGAAGGAGATGTGAACGCGGGCGGAGACGAGCTGAGCACCTGGTAGGAGGCGCTACGCCAGTCGAATCAAAAGCTCGGCCAAAACTTCACTTTCAGGATGGACAACGTCCGGACCGGTCGGCATAAGCACCAGGCACACTCGCGCCCAGCCTGGCCAATAAAGTCAAGGCAAACAACCCTCTCCCTTCCTTCACCCCAGGTTTCAAAAGCAGCGATACGGAAAATGAGACGACGAGGAGTGGTCATAAGGGGTCCTGGCTTCGTCCACAAGAATGGGCATTTTGAGTGGTAGAGGAGCCACCTGCAGAGGCCTTGATACAGTAGAGGAGGGTGAAGGAAGAGGGCGTGCGACACAGGGTTGTGAGGACCATTCATGGTGGACGAAAAAAAACTCTGATGCAAGAGTGGACGTCATCTCGCTACTCTGAACAGCCAGCGCCTTGACAACATAGTCGACTGGCCTAGAGAGACTGCCATTCTCCTGTAGTGGGAACATGTGGGGGCGCGTCCCAGATGAGGCCCCAATATTGGGAATGGCAGGCGGCCAACGACGGAGGAGGGTCACACCTTCACTTCCAATCCTCTGGCCAAAAGCCCGTCGCGAGTGGAGCGAAGCCCCGGGGGTTGCAATGGAAACCGGGAGAACAAAGTCCTCAAAATCCCTCGCCAGGTCTTGGAACCTCTTGGCAGGCCATGGGCGTGCGGACAGGGCGCGTGCTTGGAGCGCGAAGGGGGAGAATATCTCACACTCGCGAGACGGCCCATGGGCTGGGGCATAGTAAGCGCGCACCGCAGCAACCCCTGGAGCAGAGAGATGGGTGTGTGATGACCGGTGAGCCAGCAGCCACCAGATCCCGCGGTTTCCCCCACACGCATGGCAGCAGCTGTGGGTGGCCAGGAGAAAGGAGGGGACGAAGGTCGGAGTCTTGGCCTGGCTGACGACGCGAGCAGCCTGCCGGAAAGGACGGCGAGAAGGAAGCACGCGGACCAACAGTGCAGCTGGGCAGGAATCAGACAGGATTAATCGAAGGGCCGCCCGGGCGCCGATAGGTTGGAGCTGGCCGCGATTGCCAGCCGATTTCTTCACAAAAATGGAAAAAGACAACAAGCCCCGTCGTCCCATGGGTCAGGGTCAGAGCATAGCGGACGAGTGTTTGGACAGTCGCTCCTGCCGCCCCATCATCCACCCAATAACACAAAAGCCAGCGGGCCAATAGGACGAGGTGCCAAAAAGGGGGAGGAGAAAGGAGCGGACGATCGGATAGGGAAAACCGAAGGAGGTGGGTGGGTGGAGGAGGGGGGCGTGGGGACAGGAGGGTTGGACGGGACCGATAGTGAACCAACTCTGTTCAGCTTGTGGTCCCCTAGCACGACCAACGGACGCTTGACGAGAGGATCGTGGTGGGGTTAGAGGATATATTACGGCGAGTGATATAGGAGGGGTGCTGGGCGCCATGGGCAGGCCCAGACGTCCGGAGGTAAGCCGGGTAGGTTAAACAGGCATAGGCAGTAGCGGAAAGTAAGAAGAAAAGGGGAGATATGGGTGTGGGCGTGTGGGTCGAAGCAGGGAACACGAGATAGCCAGAGCTCGCTTCACGTCCCTTCCTGGCTCCTAGCGTGGGACTCCATAAGCCGTTGTGTCTTTTTGGCCCTGGCCAAGGCCGCTCCGGGCTGGTGATTCGTTCAAGCCGCCCAGCCGCGCACAAGACGACACTCCACCGTCGTATGGAAGAGGGACAAGTTCTTCAGGATGGACCTCAAAGGGGAACAAAAGATGAAGAAAAAGAAGAAAAAAAGAAAAAAAGGGAAGAGAAAAGGAAAGTACCAAAAACCAAAGGAAACGGAACATGTGTTCTTTTTTGCCCCGAGACGATGGCCAGTAAAATAAAAGGGAGCGGTATCGAGCTCAGCCTAACTTGCAAGTCCGAACGCTCCTGTGGATGATGCTGGAGTCTTGGCAGCTGAAGACGCCTCCTGGCTTCCCTGAGCCCTACGAGGCGGGGCAGGCGGCCCTAGGAGAATGATAAAAGCACGGGCGCCAGAGAGCTCCGATGACGTCTAAAGAGAAGAACAGATTTCGATCGATCACCACATTGAGGGTCAGGGAGCCGACTGGAGAGCATGTCCGGCTTTCGTGCCCCTGTCCGGCTGAGCTGCGGCGCACGCATGGCTGGCGGGCTGGGGTTTCCTGCATACCAAGGCAGGAGAACCCAATAGTGGTCGGTTGGCAAGGAGTTGCAGATGCAGTCGAAAGGGCTGGTTTCCAACATGGTATCCGTGCGCATACTTGCAGTCCCTGAGGATCCAGTCCCAAGCCCGTTATACCAGGTATAACCATGTGTTTTTTTTTCATGTGCCTCTAGCATCATCCGAACCCCAAGCCTAGCTTGGATGCTTTTGGCGTTCCTAGGGCGCCAAAGGGACGACAAGAAGTGCGGTCGAGGCCGTATTAGAGGCTGACTGAAAGGCGCGTAGAAAAAAAAGGCTCTAATGTCGCAACCAACCCCCGATCCCCAAGGAGAAAAAGAAAAGTCGGTGGGCCGCATCGAGAGGCGTCAAAGCTAGCCGTCACGGGAGACAGTAAGAGAAGCGTGGCTTTTGCCGGCGGTGAGGCGCATTTTCGCTCACCCCTCCTCGGATCTTGCCGCTCGATGGAACGCCGTTATGGTCAAGTGGTACAAGTTGCGGTGTGCAAGATGGAAGGCAAGATGGAAAGAAGGACCCCGTCCGAAGGAGGATCCTTACATCTGGACAAAAATAAGACAGAGCAAAGAATCGGATGAGGGATCTGTGTTTAACAACAAACCGCTGCGGTTGTGTGATTTCTGACTAAGATGTCGTCGTCCAAACCTTTTCTTTTTTCGCCCCTGGTGGTTGCAGTCACGTTACTGGCATGGCGGGCGACCCAGAGATCCGAGAGCGGCCGCTGCGGGATGTTGGCCAATCGCAGGCATCAGGACCCCTGCTTCGGGATGCGCCCCCTGGGACCGTGGGCAGGCGTGGGCGGCTATCGAAAAGCGATTGGGAGAAGCCAGGGCGGGGTGTGTGGGCGGTGGACAGGGGTGGACTGCCAGTTCGCGAACCTCGTGGTGTCCGTCGCTCGTCCAAACGTGCAGTCAGTCTGCACACAGTAGGCTGTTCGCTCCGCTCTCCAAGGTACATTCGATAGTGTTCACCTTATGGTCGTACGTTTGATATGCGCGCGATCGGGAGGCGAGGGGGCTGGCTGGCCGTTGGCGGTTCGCGATCTACCGACAAAAACTGGGAATTCGTGGAGGCCGCCTGCTGCGTTGTCCATGTCCTGCTCTTTTCGGCAGGCGGACAAGCATGATGTGTTTGCCCAAAAAAGAAAGAGCAAGGAGGAGGCAAGCCACAAACACGGGCTTTTTTTCTTCCCTTGCTTTTTGCCGCGCACCTCGGTTGCCACTGCCTGCCACGTCATGGCTAGTGTTGAGGCAGCACTGGCAGGCACGGTTGAGGCGGTCGGCGGGCGGCTGTGGCGAGGTGCAGCGCCCAAGTCCGGCGGCCGCCTAGCGACCCAGGCAAAGCGACCCAGGCACCCAGGCGAGCCAGCTCAGCCGGGATCATCAATTCTGTGGTCCCGCCCGAAGAACAGGCACACAGGACGGAGAACAGGCAACACCGGTCTGCAAGCTCTGACGGGCTGCATGCACAAGGCCTACGCAGATATTGCATCGAGTGGGCGCGGTGCAGCCAGGCGGCGACATCTGCAGTTGCAGGGACCAGGACCACGATTTGCGATCGCGTCCCGTTGACTGTTAGTGCTTGAGAAGCCGATCGGCCGAGAAGGCAGACGGCAGGTGGACAAGAATAGATGTGGATTTTCAACATCGGCGGCCAGCGCACCTACAATAGATGCATGTGCCGATTCACGCGGAACAGAGGACGAGGTGGGCCAAAGAGAATGCATCTTTTCCACTCAACCTCCCCCGCTCAGCTGACCTGCACCACATGTAGGCTGCCGGGCACACATCACAATTCACCTGCAACCTCCTCCATTGTGTGTGCGGGTGTGGGCCATTTATTGTAAAGAAACAACAAAACACAAAACAAAGGGGTGTGAAGAAACAAGCACTGTCGGAATCTGATAAACCGACGTCAACAGCCAATTGCTGGACTCGGCACGCTGCTTGCCCGAACGAGCCGGCCATGCTCCTATCGCGAGATGGAGCTTCATCCATCCATCCCGGAGGATGGCACCCCTTCTTGCTGTTGTTACCTCCCACCTCCCTCCTCCCCGACAAACCTATCAGTCCCAGCACGCCCTTGCACTCTGTATGCATCCCACCCCCCGTTGGCAAACTCGCCAAGTCCAATCACTAGTTCTTCTTGTGTCTGCATGAGACGAAGGGGTCCGGAAATATCGAATATCATATCATATTCCCAGACGGGCGACTCAGGGTGAGCATGATGGGGAAAAGACGGGATGAAGGGTGGGGTGTTTGATACGAGAATGATCCATCCAGACGGTAGCCACTTCCTATAGCAGATGAAGGTTTGCTGGGGACTGCGGGAGGTAGAGCACGATAGACATCCTCATTCCCATTCTCATCGGCGTCTCGCCCCTGCGACATAAAAATTTGGTTGACCGTCGGTGGGGTTGTTTCCGCCAGGGCGCTTTACCGAGTCTTAGTAGCGAGCCGTCGGCGGGCGGAAACGAGCCAAATTGCAGATCCACGGCCATGCAGCTATCGCGCCCCGCGGCTCATGCCATTGGGATAGATGAGAGACATGCAGCGGCAGTCTCCTTACTGCGACGGTTGCGAAAGAGGGCCTGCGTTTGCGTGCGTAAGTGCTGCGGAGGATTGACGATAGGCCCACCCACACCTCGGCCCCCTTGCTCTCCCACTAGACTCCCAGCACCCAGCAAATAACCCTGACCAGGGTGAGATGAGAGCTCGCCCGAGAGATCTGCTGTTTTTCTGATTGGCTCTAAATCCATGTATTTCGACCAATCACATAAATCGGTCGCGCCTCCTTCCTCGGCGGCCCCTTGGTACCACTTCGCGTAGCAAGCCATCCACTGCCATCTTCTTCTGTTCCACAGCAGTGCTCCTTTTGATCTCACTTCTACACGCCCTTGATGATGACGGGGAAGTATGAGGCGTCGCTCCTGGTCGTCCCGCAATGTTTCTCCCCTAACAGAGGTAAATGTCCGACAGGTTTAGGGCTTCTGGACAAGGCATTGGCTCCCGACGCCGTGGAAGCAAGGTTTCTTGGTTGCTAGCTGACCTTTACGGTTTCAGCCACGGCACCTCGAAAGGTTTAGAGTGAAGAAAACCCCGTCTGTTGACCGGCCGAGTAATTTGTCGACAGGTGACTGCCACACTGCCTCGAACAGACTGCCGCCCATGGAGGACACAAGACTGTGGGCCGAGTGGAGGATCGGCATGGAGTTTAGTTGCTCTCGCGTCCGTGACCCTGTCCTAGTGATCCCCCACGAGCAAATCAGCGGCATTTCTCCCGCGGACTCGGCTCGAGGAGAGGGGCGCGAGGGGCCCGTCTCTCGGAGCAAGGGTTGCCTATCGTGGTTTTTCTCTCACAAGTAAGCACACCCTGTCGGGCCATCAGGTTATCACGCCCGGATAGAAAAAACGGAACACTTTTCAATTTTTGCCCCAGTGCATACCACCACCAATTGAAAAGTGTTCCGTTTTTTTTTATCCGGGCGTGGTTATCCCCTCAGCGTGCCGTGGGTGCCTCTGCGCTCGAGCTAAGCTAACCTACCCGACGACATCTATGCAAGCCGGTGGGTGGCCCTGCTAGTATGGCCTCGTTCGCCAAACAACAAGCCCGAAAAACGCCGCGTCGAGATGGCGCTCCTGTGTGGCGTCCAAACAGAAGCTGAGGCTCCCCAACCCCTCTTTTGCGGCCACATGTCCGCTTGGCTAGAATGGGAAAGCTTCGAGCCCGGGCCAGGAGGAGAAGGAGCGGGAAACGAAAATCCTGCCGCGTCTACCAGCCAAGGCTTCGTGGCCTGTGCACCATCTTCCGGTTTGCTCGCAACTCGAGTGGATGCCGTTTCTCAGATGGGTCCTCCCACCATGACGAACACCCCCATCCCCATGTGCTGGAATCTGAGACATACAGAAACGAAAAAATGGGAAGATGCAGTGTACGCCTTCTGCAATTGCGGTTGGCTCGGATGGAGACGCAAGGCCGATCCGGTGTCTCTGAACTGAGCGCTTCTTGGAACCGACATGCACCTTCTATGCAGCCGAAGGACTCCATTGGGACGTTTGAGTGCGGGCAGACACAGGCAGAGAATAGAAAAAGAGACAGGGCAACCATGGATGCTGTCAAAAGCCAAAATGCATGGCAAGCGTGGAAAAGTGGCTGTGAGAAAAATCGATAGGTACACCCGGTGACAAAGCACTGACGGCGTACCTGCACAGAAAGGAAAGCGCGCCAACACCGAAAGTACCCGAAGAGGTAGGCCAAGTGGACCCGTTAAGTCTCGCTTAGCCCAGATGCAACCCACCTCTGTTCTGGGTGACTGGGTTTTTTTTTTGCCCCTCACCACCCGTTGCCCCGTTTTCTCCTCGTTTGCAGGGCTCGCACTCAACTGACTGCAACCCGCCTCGTCCGCCTGCCCAATGCCAGCTCAGCTCACCGTCTGTTCGCTCGCGACGTTCTCGGCTGGCAGTATTGCCGCTGCTGCGGATCGTCACCTTGCCCTCTCCACAGCTGACTGTTTTTTTCTCCTGCTTAATACGTTTCCCCTGTCCTTAAGTGGCGGCGGGATGGAAAGAGGACGGTTCAACCGCACGTGAACGGCGGGACAAAAGAAGAAAACTGCTGACTTTCTCTACAAGAAACTCGCAAATCATGGGTCAATGTGGGAGGCCGCGAACCGATAGCCATGATGAAGCGACATGAAGACTGCAGAGCCCAGCCAGCCCAAACCGGTTGGGTCTTTGGTGGACCCAGGCGACGGGCTGCGATGGGCTGCGACGGGCTGCTTCTTTACGGATGCATTTCGCCTGGGATCATGGTTTCCCAATGGCTTCGCTCAGGGGTGCGTCCCGTCCTCTCATAGGATGACGCCCACATGCATCTCCTGGGGTGCCATTTTTCCACTCTCCTTTTCCCGCTGGCAGCACAAGCGCGAGGTACGTACCGGGCTCCGGTTTGCGCTGGCTGGCTGCTGGCCTGCTGGCTTGACCTGCTGGCAGGCCTCACTCGCAAAAAAGAGGGCGCAGCGCTGCAGCACGTATGCACGCCGTACTCGCCTCTCCTGATGATGCTATCTGGCCAAGGGGTGCCTCGGCCGCTGCAAGCCCTGCATCAGCAGATGAGCGACAGGCGTCAGTCCGCATTTCTCCTTTCGCCGCTGCACGCTGCCACCCAATGATCCGTCTGCCACGGCATCCTGCTGGTTCCGCCTTAACGGCTCGCCCGTGCCCTAGCTGCTGCTGCTGCTGCTGCTGCTGCTGCTAGCAAGTCGGCCAAACCCTCCTTGCTCGAGTAGCAGTCGCTCTCCCGCCTGCCCCAACATTTTGCCCGTGTTCGGGTGACTCAGCGAGTCTAGTGGCCGCCAGTCGCTTGTGGAACTCGGGCTGTCTGATGCGCAAGCGAGCCGGCCAGCACATGTGGCCCTCTGCCGCCGACCAAGTGCGTCCCTCCTTCTCACCCTCGGCACATGACCAGGTCGCACGGAGACAGGCCCTCCTCTTCCTCCGGGGCTACCGCTTGCGTTTGCGCTGTGTGACGCGGGCAGCAGCTACCTTGGCTCTCTGCTTTGCGCGCTGGGGCTGTGAGGTACACACCTGTCCAGCTTAGCGTCGAGGTCATGCCTAGGACGACCCGCATCCAGGCGCGGTCTTGCAAGGGGTGTGCGCCACGCCCGCCGAAGAATTGGGAACGGTAGCAAACAGCTCAACCGGGAGCTGGGGCCCAAGGACGGAGCCACAAATCCAGTCCAAAGCGTGCGATCAGTGACCCTGGACCAGGGTTGGGAATTAAGTCACAATTAAGTCATTAAGTCATTTTTTAAGTCAAACTTTGCAATAAAATCTAAAATCAACAAAAATAGGTAGAACGTTTATTTCTTCGTATTTATATAAACAAATAGCAAAAGAAAATATATTATAAGTTTATATTGCCTAAAAATGGTATATAAGCGGGTAAAAATGCATTAAGTCACAATTAGTCAAAAAAAAAGTTGAAAATGACTTAAAAAAATGACTTAATGCAAATTACGTGATATATAATTACGTAATTAAATATTTTAAATATTATTTATATAAAACCGAGTTTTCTGTATTTAATGGTGGTATTTTTATACTTATAACTATAATAGTTAATTTAATATTAAGCTTTAAACTGTGACTTTTTACTGACTTAACGAGTGACTTAAATGACTTAATTCCCAACCCTGCCCTGGACTGCCATCCTGCCCGTCCTCCACCCCACACACCCCAGCCCAGTGGATCGCCGCTGCCCTGGGCTCCGGATAGAGAGACGCCTCGCCGCCTGCGCGCACCTCGGCCGTGGACATACCAGCGTCGCTCTCGCCGTTGCTAGGCTCTGAGTGGGCGATGGCTGCTGCAGGTAGTTTGGCCGCCAAAGTACATGGCTGGTTGATTTAGTCGTATATACATTTTTTCTCCTCTTTCTTGGCCAGCTCCTGTGATCTCCCCTCTCCCCCATTTACCTACTCTCCTCCTTACTTGTCATCCCTCCCACCACACTCTCGCCCTCCTGTCAACGGGGACCTGCCTTGAACCCTTTCTCCGCCCTGCAACGTGTCTCCTCCTAAACTGCCGTCCCCCGTCTTTTTTTTTTTTTCTGTTGTCCTCCCCGTAATTATTTTTTGCGCTTCTCCACATCCAGATAGCCGTTCGGGTTTACGCGGCAAGGCCACACACCTAGACGCCCGCAGCCCGAGTCCACACCACCCAAGGCCGGCATCCCCACCACCCCTCAGGTCTAGCCCGCTGCACTTACACGCCAGCCGCGCAAACGACTTATTAGTGGCCCCCCTCCTTCAGCAGTCGAGGTTGCGCGGAAAAGCTGCCATATCCTTGAGCGCCCACACACCTACGGCTAGCATACCACCCACCCATATCCCATCCCCTGTCGAGTGTCCATCGGCCGGCCTTATCGTTCAGGGAATCTCCTCTTCCTGAATTTTTGGCGCCTGATTTCATCTTTCTTTAAGCTTTTGATATCCCACATTTCAATTTTTCTTCTTCGTCTGGATCCTCCTGTACCGCGCTCTCGGCTGGACCTCGCCGGACCCCTTGCCTGCTGAACACGGGGTAGCACCACAGGACTTTGGTGGTTAATTCTTACTTAATTCCTTCGCCATCATCATTGCACGGCCTGCCGAGGCCTGGAAGGACGACCGAGGCCGCACACAGGAATTATAACACCGGTCAGCACCTAATCCTCGGCTGCCCTACGCACTGGAGCCTGCCGCACAGCCAGAGGCATCCCAGCCCGCTCCGGGGGGGCGCGGCCTTCCCGATATAATATGCTGACACTGCCACATTAGCTGCAGACGCCCAGGAATGGAGCTATAACGGCCGTGTTACTATGACTTTCCGTTTACCGTCCTATCCACCCACCACACTATAGAGATGGCCTCCACCAGGCACGGGCAAAGATATGGCTCGGCGAGATCAGACGAGCGGACCCAGGCACCAACGAGGCCGACCCTGGGAGCAGGAGCAGGGGTTTATAGGAGCGCCGTTTCTGCAGATAACTCGACGTCTTCGCAACCACGGAGGGCCATGGAATATTTGCGGACACAGCCCCAGGAGAGTGCCTCCATATCTCGGACCCCGAGCTCCAGCAGGATACCACAGGTTCAGACAACCGCCAGGAGGACTCCCGCACCCAGACAATCAACCACCCGACCACCATTATCACACCAGGACAAGCCATGGAGTTCCGGTTTCAGTAGCCTTGGATCTTCCTCCCGGTCAGCGTCATCAAGTGCCATCCCCACAGGTTCACTGTCCTCTGCTCGCCAGACTGAGGAGCTCAAGCCCCGGCCAGTGCGGAATGTGCTGAGGCGCAAGTCTGCGAACCTGGCGCAGGAGACTGTCAAGCTACGAACCCCGTCGGGCAGTGGACCGTCACGCGAAACCGACTCCCCGGCGTCTATAACGCGATCGCTGGCCTCGCCAGACTCGCAGCTCGACCGCAGCTTGACAGACTCGCCCGCAGAGATCCGCATCGCGATGCAGGTTGACCTCCCGACGACCATGGCACAGACGGTCAAGATCTACCCTGAGCTTGACCGATACCGGGACGCCAAGCCGGCAGGCAGCGGCTATATGATCGAGGTGCCGTACCCGCTTTCGACACGCGATCTTCCGCCGCCGACGCCACTGTTCTCGGGCACTAGCAGCCAGCCTAGCGCCTACAGCGGCAGCCCCTCGACGCGCTTTTCTGGCTCGCCCGGGCCCGGTCCTTACAGCCGAGACACCACACCCACCACCTCGATTCCGTCGCACTCGCCCGGCCTGGTGGCGCCGTTGCGCCTCCCAGCACCTCGGGTGAGACAGAACAGCCCGGCACGCCACCAGCAGAGCTCTCGGCCGCCCGTCACGCGGAGGAGAGCGGGCAGCGTGCCAAATGAAGTCGACTCGATTAGTGCCGACCCCCACGGCCTCGCTGCCGTGAGAGAGGCGCTCAACTCATCTTCGTCAAACTCGACCGTCCGTGATAGCGACAGGAGGAACGCCGCCCCGGTGGCTATAACAGCCACCGCCGCTAGCAGTGAGACAGGGAGCGAAACGAAACGGAAAAAGAAGAAGTTTGGGGCCGCCCCGTCGCCAAGCCCGCCTCCACGGAAGAGTTCGACGAAATTCAAGGAGTCACCCCTCAGGGACTCCCCCCGAGATGCCCAAGAGTCGTCCCCCTCCAAGTCGGCTCGCGACCCCACCCGGCCAATCATGGCCTCGTCGGCCGGCAGGCCCACGCCACCGACCATGACCAGGGCCCACACGGCCACGCCAGCCGTCACATCACCTAGGGGGGTGCCACCTGCACGGCCCAGCCGGGACGGCACACCCGACCTCCAATCCCAGATCAGCCTGCCCATCCCCGTCGTCCAGAGCAATCTCTCGTCTTCATCGCTTTCGGAAAGGCGCCAGAGCTTACCTTTAGGCCCAGGCTCCCGCAGTGCGCCTAGCAATCTAACTCACGGTATCAGGTCTGCTACACCCTCTTCGCAGCCTGACCGCTTCATGCAGCCAACCCAGTCCAGGCTTCCTGTTGGGAGAGAGCCGACGCCGGCGCTGCCCCGGCTCGACACCCGGCGGCCGAGCCACTCTGGTTCCACGGCCAGCCGCACGCCTAGTCCGAACGTGTCCGGCTTCCGATCTCGCTTCCCTCTATTCGGGAGGCGCACAAAGACTGCCCCTGAGGCCGTCACACAGGTCGCAGACCAGAAGGATAAGCCCGTCCGCAAGGGCCCTGCCGCAGGTACCGGTCACGAGGGCTATGGACGAATCGGCATGATCCACCACCGCCGCCGCAGCAGCAGCCTCGCTCGGGGTGTCGGGGGCACCATGTCGTCGCAAGAGAGCCTGGAGAGGAGCCTGTCCGATGACCCGTTTCTTCTGGAACGCATGAAGCCCGTCGTCATCGCCGGTGGCGATGTTGTGCAGAATCACAACGTCGGCGCTGATCTTGGCCGCACAGAGAGCAACCAGAGCCTGCCAGGAGGATTTGCGAGGACGGGCTCTGATGTGTCTTTGGCGCCGCCCCCGGGGGACAGGACTACCCTTTGGCCATCGCCCCTCCCCCGAAACGTCAACACCACCACAAGTTCTCTTGCCGGCCGTCGGCCCTCGGACAGCAGCGACTCGGAAGCGCTGGCTATGCGTTCAACGCTTGCCTTTAGGCGATCTATCCACAAGATGAGGGACGGCGCCGACGCCGCCATGCGGATCCCGAAGCCCATAGTCACCCGCACACAGGGCGTGATATCCCCGGCTCTCACCAGTATCGACACCACCATCATGACAGACGACTCTGCCATCGAGGCGCCGGCGGGCGGCGCATTCAGGGCCATCAAGGGGTCCGCGCCGTCAGCTGAGTCTTCCAAGAAGCTGATCAAGAGGGCCAAATCGCCACGCCGATGGAATTTTTTCGGCCGGTCGACAAGCCAGCCTGCTGTTGCCACCAAGAGCCCCGAACCACCTAAGCCTGTGGTGGCCGTAAAGGTGGCGCCGCCCAAGGCTGCTGCGTTTTACACGATGGACCTTTCCGAGCAGGAGGACAACGACGGCGGAGATGTCGCCGAGGGACCGTGGGACGCGAACCTGCTCGCTGTGCCCTCGCCCCAGCCTCAGCTGCAGCCACAGCTGCAATCTCCTCAAAACCAGATCCCGACGACGCGACGCCCGTCGGTCACGAGGACGGCCACCAACGAGGAGGAGCAGCTCAAGCGCGGCGGGGTTGTCGAGCCCCTGGAGTATCATGAGATGTCACCGGAGCCCCAACCGCCCCAGTGGACCGAGACGCCATTGGTTGCGACTCCCGAGCCGGTGAGGGCCGTCGAGCCTGTCGAGCCCGAGCCTCAACCGACGGCCAGGAGAGTCGGGAGACCTAGCCGGCTGCCGCAAGTGGGCCGCATCCCCAAGGTTGTCAACTCCCGGCCAGAGCAGACGTCTCCGAAGAGCTTCTCGCGACCCTTTAACCGCATTAGCATGCGACTCGCGCCGCGTGGGGAGATCAAGGATGCCAATTCCGTTGCCAAGGGCCCGAGCCCAGTGAAGCCGTCGACCCCAGAGCCCATGCAGCCCACGCCTCCGGTAGAGCCTGCCGAGCAAGCCTCGACCACAGCCACCGCGTTCGACTCTCGCTTCCGTGGCTCAAGAGAGCTCACGACAGACCTGGCAAACATCATGACCGAGTTTCTCGCATTCGCCCCGCGCAAGAACTCGCAGAGCACGACCTGCACGACAACGACCACATCCTCGTGCAGCTCCGGCATTGTCTCGTACGCCGACGCCACGGCCGTGGTGCCCGCGCCCAACGCGCCGCTCGTTGAGGATGAGATCTGGGGCGAGTACGACGATTTCTTTGGCGATGAGACGCTCAAGGCCCCGCCGTCGGCCGGCTCGTCTCACGGTACCCCCTTCCATCTGGAGCACCTGGCCAGGAGGGTGGTTGAGCCGCCCCTGGAGTCGCCCACGTTCAAGCAGCCCGTTCGACTTCCTTCTATTGATGCCGCTGCGACCGGTTCCCAGCGGCCCTCAACCATCTCGCAGGCCGAGACAGAAAGAGAGAAGGTGCCCATCGCCTCGAGCATCTACAGCACCGACATGACAGGTCCGCTCAATGAGGCCATCGAGACTGGCTTGATTCCCATCTCGTCTCCATTCTCCGTCTCGGAGTTTGTCAGCGGGTACGGGGACGGTTCGCCAAAGGCCAGTCCGACGACCAAGGTACCCACTGTCAAGAGCCCGGTAATCAAAGCGGTGGTCGCCTCCAAGCCGCCGACGTCGCTCAGGCGCAACAGCACACCCGTGAGCAACAGCAGCCCGCGCCGCCTGCCGCACCAGAAGCGCGCCTCGGACGCCAGCGGGGCATCGAGCCTGCTCAGCGAGCTCGACATCTCGTCGCCGCTCTCGCAGGTCAACCTGCGCGTGGGGTCCATGACTGTCAGCAAGTGGCTCACCTTTGGCCACGTGCTCTTCAGCCCGGTGCGCGATGAGCTCGTGCCCGAGGTCGGCTCGTCCGAGAAGTCTCTGAAACGCCACTCCATCCTCGTTATCGATGGCCTGGGCAATGACGACTGGTCGTTCTATGCGGCTGAGACATATCCGGAGGCGACGTTTTTCAACCTCTCACCACGCGCCCCGCTGGCTAACTCGTCGTCGACCTCGCCGGGCTCGTTCCCGCTCACGCCGCCCAATCACCATCAGATCCAGTACAAGTCGCACCTCGATAAGTTCCCCTTTGGGCCCGAGAGCTTCACGGCGGTCGTGTACCGTTTCCCGGCGGCCGCGCCCGAGTCGCACTTCCGCAACATCATTGCCGAGGCTCGCCGGGTCCTCAAGCCGGGCGGCTACATGGAGCTCTCCATCCTGGACGTGGACCTCAACAACATGGGCAACAGGTCCAGGCGGGTGGTGCGGAGGCTCAAGGAGCGGATCCACGCCGTCAAACCCGACACGTGCCTGGGCTCGACGGCGGACCTGCTGCTGCGCCTGATGGGCCGCAAGGGCTTCGTGGACATCAAGAGCTGCCGCGTCGGCGTGCCCGTGGCCAGCCGCCTCGCCGCGTCCTCGTCCTCGGGGAGCAGCGGCGAAGGAGCGGGCGCGGGGCCGTCGCCGCTCGCCCGTGGGGCGGCGGGGGCGCCCCGGCGCAAGAAGGACGACCGGTCGCTGGCCGAGATGATGCGCGACGAGAGCCCCGTGGCGGACGAGTCCATCACCAAGATGGTGTCCAAGGTGGGCCGCTGGTGGTTCAGCCGCTGCTACGAGCCGGGCGTCGGGGCGGGCGCGGCAGGCTTCGGCGGCAGCGTCTGGAACGACAAGCTGCTGCTCGCCGAGTGCCAGGAGTGGGGCACCAGCCTCAAGCTCATGGTCTGCCACGCCCGTGTGCCCGACGGCCGGGCGCGCGTGGCCAGCATCTGAGGGGGACCAGCCGGCCTCGCCTTTCTCGTTTCTTTTTTTTTTTTTTCTTCACGTCATCCGTCTCTTCGGACTCTTGTTCTTTTCGTTTCGTCTGTTTTGCTGGATCATGACCTGTCATTATCACCACCACTTTTTCGGCCTCGTAAGCGCCAGTCACCAACTTTGACCACCGACACCTAATCCTTCCCACCCTGAAAAGAGACGAAACTCCCTCATTCATGGCATCGCGTTTTCAAGCGCTAGGCATTTTATACTCGAGACGAGTTGGAAAGGAAGAAGATCCATCTTATACTACATCAGACTTAAAGAGGGCGCGAGCCCACAGTCACCATCAGCATACGGCCTCAGCCCTGCCTATCTTGTGGTAGGGCCGGCCTTTCGACAGAATATTATACGACACCGATTTTCCCGCGCCGTGGGCAGACGTACTGTACTGTCTCTCGGACGAGATTGTTTTTATCATC